GTGTTTTAATAGAGAACGGGAAGTGTGACATTGAAATCCGAAGGTATTTTTGGTATAGCCAATGAAGTATTTCAAAAGCTAAGCATGGTACTTTGAAATAATAAATAAAAAAAAAACTTCGTTAGATACGATGAAAAGGATGCTGAAGTGCTACGTGATATCTGTCCTTTTGCATGGTATTGATTACTGCACAATCTCTTCAAATATGAAAAAGAGACTTGAAGCAACAGTAATGTGGTTCTACAGAAGGATGTTGAGGATGCCATGGACAGAACATGTGAGAAACTACGAAGTTTTAGAGAAAATGGAAACAAAAATGAAACTTATACTTAACATCAGGAAGAGCCAGTTCGGTTTTCTGGGGCACATAATGAGGATGGCGGGTTTGGAAAATCTGATACTCACGAGACAGACTGAGGGACAGCGGAAAACAACGCCTAACATACTTGGTGAGTTTGAATAAATGGAGGGCGAAACAGGGCTTAGGAGAAATAAAAAAAAGACAAAGTTTATTAAGAACTACAAGGGACAGGAAGTTGTGGAGAGCCATGATCGCCTAGGTTCTGCGGGGACACGGTACATAAAGAAGAAGAAAAATTTGCATCAATCAAATAGATTTAATAAAATGACCTCAAATCAACTCATATCCAGGACTAAAAGAAAAAAATATAAAGAATATGTATAATTTGTATTTACTCAGCCCCCACGAAGTCAGGTTGTGAAACAAGGTTGGTTTAATGTGGGGAGCCCGAACGCGTGCACCCGGGCAAGGAACAAAAATTCCCCGATCGCCCGTAACCGTCGGTTGCGCTGGCCTCGGTGCGTGCACCGATCCTTCTCTCTAGTGCAATGAGAAGGCGCGGCCTCATGCAGCTGTTCTCCAGGGCCGGCACCTCTCAGTATAATTTTCCTCAGTTGCTACTCTATCCTTTGACGGAGTCGCCCCTGAGTGAACTCTGCCCAAGGACAGAGACGCAACTGATAGATGATAAGTAGACGTGAAATTACTCAAAAAGAGTAATTTACACGCTAAGAATATCTATAATTATCCGGCCATTGGACAAATAAATCGACCTCCAAGTTTAAACATGTTTAAACACACAAACATGCGCCCGCATATGTACAAGCATACACAGGCACAAAAAAATATACACTTATGAAAGCGTTCATCATCTCCGATCCACTCACCCATGCACAAATACATTTCGCTTGCTCTCGCATACACACGCATGTAAACACGTATAAACACACGTGGGCATATACACAAGTATTCACGCGCACACTGACACACATGCACGTACACGAATTCGTAAAACATTAAGTAAATCAACACGGTGCTCGCCTTGTCTCTTCAGTAGAAAATTAATTTATTTGCTGTTAGTTGTTTGAATCGAAAACTTAAATGAAATAAAAACCTATCAGTGAGTAACTGGCCAGGGTGTCTGCTTACCCGATGGCAAGTGAGCCGATGATGGAGTTGGCAACCTTTTGCTATGTGCCGACTCAGGGTTTTAAAATCATTTAGTGTGCCAACAGCATACTTTTTGCTGTTTTTTTTTTTTTTTATAGAAGTCAAGGTCAATATACCTGTTCTACAATATATTTTATATAATAATATATAGTATATATACTTTAGTATTTTTATGTTTAAACGTTCTTTTTATAGATACCAATACAAAACAGTATTGATAACATTTACAGGCCTGAATGTCTGAGAAATTTTCATCGAAAATATGCGTCCTCCGACAGGTAAATGCAGGTAAATGTCGTTTATACTGTTTATTATAAACAGAGCATTTACTTAAATATTTGTATCTATAAAAAGAATGTATAAACAAAAAATGTCTTAAAAAATAATTGTCGGACTTTGCCTATTTCATACTTTAGTATATATTAAAAATGAAACAACTAAACATCTTTGTGTTGTAGTAGTTATTGGTTCAGACTTTGTGATGTCATTTCCGGCTTCGTGCCACTGGAAATTGCTTGGCGTGCCGCTTGTGGCATGAGTGCCGTAGGTTACCGAGCCCTGCCCTATATCAAATAAAAATGCAATTAAGAACAAACAGACAAATGTTTTAGTAATGATAACAATATGAACTTTATAAAGTCATCTTCACACTATCAGTTACTCAAATTCAATGTGAGATTAAGAAATTCGATGTCTGATGAGAATTTGGAATCCTGCATGTTGCTATCCATTGAAAAAGAATTGTTAGATGAATTGGATACAGAAGCAGTTGTTGGCAAATTTTAACAATCAATGAACACAAACGATTGTTTTTAATATAGCGGACTGCATGTAATGCTATATTGAGCTTTCGAACTATATGTTAACCTATAAATTAAGCAGTAAACTATTTAAAATTTTCAGAAATATCGAAAAATATCAGCCAATTACTTAAAATTGAAAAAAATCCAATTATAACATTTTATGTATATATATATGGAATCTATTGCCAGTATGCATTACTTGCACATGGGCACCTCGGGGCGGTGTAATGGTTAGCAAGCTTGTCTCGCTAGAAAAATTACGACTGAATATTGAGTTTGATCCTCACTGGATGCCCCCTACATTTAGCCTTGTGCCACATCTAATCTGCGCTTGGAAAATTACTACATTACGTGCGCACTATAATTAGTAAGAAATGTAAATTTTGTCCATTAAAAAAATTGCACCCTCTTTTTTTTTGAAAAATCAGGCGTGGCTGACCATATATGGGGAGAGAAGGGAGATCACCGCCCTCTGTGGGATCATGTTGAGATCATTGACAAGGAACACCATTGGAAAATTCGTAAACTTAAGGAATCAGCACATATGCTAGGCCAAAAAAATCTCCCGAGCCGACCAAGCATAGAAATAAATACAATATGGGAACCAGTAATAAGAAGTGCCAGAGAAAATCAATGATAACAACATAGTTGCAATATGAGCTCTGGTAAAAACATGTAATGATAACAGCAAAATTGCAATATGAGCACTGGTAAAAATGGTTGCTGAAGACATTAGCTTTATAATACCCAGAAATTCATACCCAGATGATAATAGGTGGCACAGTGGATAAAGGTGTTGGTTAGATCCAGTGACAGGCCCCAAAGAGTGTGAGTTCAATACCCGGTTAAGGCAGTGGAGAACTTTTAGAGGGAAAATTAACAGGAGATAACTGATAGCTGACATCCATCAAACATGGCACGTGGAACTAGAACTGTCTACCCTGGTGAGCGAAATAAAGGGTTCAGTTCGACATTCCAACCACCTGAAGAAGGCCGGAGCATACAACAGCCGAATATGGCGACAAAGATGAGAACAATAGTCCGAATAATGTACATAATACCTAATCTCAGAAATATAGAGAGGCCCGTTTTTTTTCTATATGTATTTTAAAAAAAATATTTGTTTTGAGCATTAAATGAATACTTTGTAGTTGTATCTCCTGGCAAGCAATATTTTTAGACCCATTCTGCCACTGGAACCTAGAGCGCTTCCATCCCCTAACGGAGTACTAATTCAGATTGCACTAGAGTGCACATCCGTGACTCGACAATTTAAATGGAGTGTGTGACAGTAAACACAGACTCCAGGTAGGATATTTTCCCGATCAGTACAATCTTGACTTCTTCAAGTCTAGGGTTAAACATTATCTTTTCTACATAACTTTATCGTGTTACCTCCTCTTAATTTACCGAAACTGCTCCTAGGGGAGACTGTAAATACACTGTGATAAATTTTTATCACTCTCTTCTTACATTACACGTCAACATGTAAATTTCTCGCGGAAGAACGCGATGATAACGCGTTCCCATTTGGGGAAACGCATGAACCATACATACACATACACACGTACGTACGCACATTCACTCATTCATTCATAATCATTGGAGCAAAAAGTTTCCACATTCATTTGTTACACACACATTATTATCTTTGTCACTTGTAACCCTTTGTTGTTGATACATTATCCTTGATTTGTATATATATATATATATATATATATATGAAATGAACAAAGTCCGACCATTATTTTTAAGACATTTTTATGTTTATACGTTCTTTTTATAGATACACATATTTAAGTAAATGCTCTGTTTATAATAAACAGTATTAGCAACATTAACCGGCCTAAATGTCCGAGAAATTTTCATAGAAAATATGCGTCCACCGACAGGATTCGAACCTGCATCCTTTACGGAACTGTCATATAGCCTGACGTGCATTAACCGATTGGTCAACAGAGGCACGTCAGGCTATATGACTGTTCCGTATAGGATGCTGGTTTCTGTTGAGGACACATATTTTCTATGAAAATTTCTCGGACATTCAGGCCGGTAAATTTTATTAATACTGTTTATTATAAACAGAACATTTACTTAAATAAAAATATATAATATATATATATATATATATATATATATATATATATATATATATATATATATATCGGTTCTTCCTGTTTCTTCTTTATGTTTTTAGGTGGACTCATCCCGAGTCTCCCATGTTTGTTGTCGGCATTTCAGGAGACATACGTGTTTATCTCTCAACGCAACAACCGCATTTCTCTTTTTCAGTAAGTTGACGTTTACTTATCATCTCTTAGTTGCGTCTCTGTCTTTGGACAGAGTCCATTTAGGGGCTTCTTTGTCAAAGGACAGAGGGGCAACTGAGGAAAATAATACTGAAGAGGTGCCCAGGCCTGGGGGACAGCTGCCCGAGGCCGCACCCTCCCATTTCACCAGAGGAAGGGATCGATGCTCGCACCGAGGCCAACGTAACCGACGACTGAGGGGAATTTTTGTTCCTGTCCCGGGCGTACGCGCTCGGGACCCCGCCTAAAAACAGACCTTGTGTCACATCTCGTCCAAGTATAAATACCGCACTTCTTGCTTTTTCTTACGCTCACACAACAACATACATTAACCCTCGGTCTTGAGTGACTCTTGGGCCTTGTACTAGAAGAACATTGGTACAAAATAAGATAATAAAATATCTATTGGAGACTTACTTTGAACTGAATTCCAGAGATAGACTAATTTTCTCATCCTCTGAATAGATAATCCGTTCATGAACACGTGATCCGTCTCCGCCCTGTAAGACGCCGTTCGCTTCGCTGTCCACGGAACCACAGGGCTGATGGGTGGCTAAGGGGGATAAAAAAACGAAAAGAATTTAGAATCAAAACGTGTGTATTCTGAATTAGAATCTAACACATGTACACATAAACGCTGATTACCATGTTGTTCGGTGTATATGACGCGCAGTTTTTACCTTTCAATATCAAAATCTGCTTGCGTCGTATACAAAAGGGGATGATGAATTCGTGGGGAAAAAAAAACAAGAAGTGATATAGTGATTAAGTCAGTTAAGCAATGTGGTATCAGTAACTCAATGGTTGGGACCGATGACGATATTCACTAATTTAAATTGACTGGAAGGATTATTTTTTTTTATAAAATAGTTCATTAGCGTCTTTTTTATCGTAATTTATGTAATTCTCTTTATTAAATATCCACATTTCTGGAGGTTAATAATTCTGATATCAACTATATATATATATATATATATATATATATATATATATATATATATATATATATATTCAAGACATACTGATACATCTTTATAAAGCTAATTTTACCTTAGTTACTTCCACAGATTTATGGTACCTAAGGTTTAAAATGAATTTTAAAAAATAAAAAATCTTTCTTGAATCTTTCATTTTAGTTTTAATTTCAAGCTAATAGAATAAATTTAATATTTCTAATAAGCAAAATACTTTGCTGTATTTCAAAAACTAATTTAAATTGACTGGAAATATTTTTTTTTTTTTACTAAAAGAGCTGATTAGTGCTATTTTGAGCTCTTTCATCGCAATGTAATTCTATTTATTAAAAAAAATCTTCAAAAAATAAAATATACATTTCTGAAACTTTATTTGAGGAATAAAAGCTGATTTAAAGTATAATTAATCTGATTTGAAACAAATATCATTTACTTTAAGCTTAAAATATTGCAGAAATTCATTTTTTTAACACTCTGTAACTGTTTATTTAATTTTTTGATGTATTGACAGCTTTATGACAGATTGACGTTTATCTAATGTTGTTCTATGGATAAGAATGTGAGAATAACGCGAGTGCTTTTTATATATAATTTATAAGAAATGAAAAGTGAGTAAAAACTGCAGATGAAACCATACATTTAACATACTTATATATTAATACCATTTTGATTTAATGTCTAAATATATATTGTATTTGATATCATATAATACCAATTTCATTTACATTTAATATTATAGTATTATTGAGTTAGTACAAATACTGACAGTCAGTGACAACTTGGTAAAAATTAGCCAAGTGGGTTTGAAGTCGGTACCTTAAAAAAAATGCAATAACTAAGGTTTAAAATGAATTTTAAAAAGTGAAAAATCATTCTTGAAGCTTTTATTTTAGTTTTAATTTCCAGCTAATAGATTAAATTTAATATTTCCAATAAGCAAAATACTTTGCTGTATTTCAAAAACTAAATTGACTTGAAGCTGATTTAAATTATAATTAAACTGATTTGAAACAAATATTATTTACTTTAAACTTAAAATATTGCAGAAATGCATTTTTTAACACGCCAGTAGCTTTTTATTTAATCTGTTGATGTGTTGACAGTTTAATGACAGATTGATCTTCATCTAATGGATAATAATGTGAGAATAACATGAGTGCTTTTTATATATAATTTTTAAGTACTCAGTAATCTTGAATATTTAAGAAAATATTCTCTGTAATCTAATTGCAATGTAATTATACTTATTAAAAATCTTCCTTACACATAGTTTTGTCTTTCATTCTGACCTGAAGAAGCTGAAGCCAACAGACATTTGGCAAAAATTCTCTGTATTCAGCCCTTTAAAAATTGTGGTTGGTTTATAATCAAATCAAATCATATGTGCTGGTATCTTCAGTTCCTAGGAACTGAGCTTTGACCCTCATACATCATCATTACATGTATGTATTTTATATTTATATATATATATATATATATATATATATATATATATATATATATATATATATATATATATAATACTTTCTGGTTTCTGGTCACCTGATAAAAGTAATTTAATTTATTGTTCCTATTATTCTCAAAAATTAATTTCTTTACACATAGTTTTGTCTTTCATTCTGACCTGCAAGCCAACAGACATTTGGCAAAACATGTTGTTTATAAGCTTTCATCATCTTCACTTTTTGTTTTGGATACTATATGGGCATTACCATAGAAATTAATCTTGTGTGCAAGACTCATTTTTCATTTGTAACTATATTAAGACTAGCAGCATGACCCGGCGTTGCCCGTGCTTGATTCAAAAATCGTACGACTCATACAGCAATCGCTATCAATTGACTTAAAATATTTTTGCCCTTCCTTGCCTTTAAAGGAGTGCTCTTTGCCGTGCTGATGTTGCTACATGCCTTACTTCTTGCCTATCTCACACTGCGAATTTTTTCTAAGCTCTATACTAAACATTAAATCTGTTACGAAAAAAGAACTAAACAAAATGAACACAAAACGATCAGCTTTAAAAAAGGACTCGTAACTGGAAAAACCGAATGAAAAAAGAATGTTAACAACAAATACTTTTTCACACCCAACCCAGTTCTGTGGAATCAGAATCAACGTTGAGTTTAAACAAGCGAATGAGCCAATTGGAGTAAAATGCCATGCAGATTCAAATTTTTCCCACTTGTGACGAATGCAGCTATGGATTTTTTTTTGCATGCTAGCATGCTAGTTAACATTCGTGTCAGTCAGCTGATGGCTCTAATGCTGGCCAATAGAATCTTCCTGCCTATTCGTGACAGCCAGCTATTGGGTCTCACTCTGGCCAGTAGAAAATGGCCGCAAACTACATGAAAACTGCCGAAGAAGCATGAAAAAATCGATTATTTGCACTATCGATGGGAGTTGGGAAATGCAAAGTCGGTCTAGGGCTTCCTGCTAACTTGGAGCCTGTGCATGTAAATTTTGGTGCAAATCCGTCGAAAATTGCGGCCGTGCATTGGTTACACACACACACACACACACACACACACACACACACACACACACACACACACACACACACACACACACATCCTGCCTTTTATAGATAGAGATTATTTCTTGATTTTTCAGCATGAAAGAGATGCCCATTTTTCAAACTATTTTGCTCTAAAAAATATCTCATATTTTGGCTATCATCCAAAAAATGAAAGGTGGGTAAAAACTGCAGATGAAAACATACTCACATTTAACATACTTATATATTAATACCATTTTGATGTAATGTCTATATATATATTGTATTTGATATCATATAATACCAATTTCATGTACATTTAATATTATAGTACTATTGAGTTAGGTACAAATACTGACTTAGTGATATCTTGGTAAAAATTAGACAAGTGGGTTTGAAGTACATCAATTCAGTCAGTTATGTGCCATGCATGATACACGCTTAGGTGATTATGTGTCTTTCGATACATGACTGAAGAAGCAAATTTTTTACCGCATTAGGTAGCCATTTCTTTCTGCGTTAGACCAATTGCCATCTCAGGCTATAGAACCCGGTCTGTCCTGCTATTTACCCATAGCTGGAGGCAGAAGCAGAGGATTCATACGTTTCCCAAGGGTATTAGCACCTAAGTTAATGTAATGGATTCGACTGGAATTAGAACTCGGATCCGAGCTGCCATCCATTACTCCACCGTGCCATCTTGAAAAACGCAATACTTAAGGTTTAAAATGAATTTTAAAAAAACTAGTTTTAATTTCAAGCTAATAGATAACATTTAATATTTCCAATAAGCAAAATAATTTGCAGCATTTCAAAAGTAATTTAAATTAACTGGAAGGAACTTTTTTTTTTCTAAAATTACTGATTAGTGATATTTTGAGCTTTTTCATCGCAATTTAATTCTATTTATTAAAAAAATCTTCCAAACATAAAATATTATTTACTTTAAGCTTAAAATATTGCAGAAATACATTTTTAACACAGTGGTAGCTGTTTATTTAACCTGTTGACGTGTTTGACAACTTAATGATGGATTGATGTTTATCTAATGTTGTTCTATGGAGGTTTTAACCATAACAATAAATAACATGAGCACCTTCATTATATTAATTTTTAAGTACTCCGTAATCTTAAAAAATGAGCAAATATTCTCCGTAATCATCAGTTTTTTTTGTAAGACAAGACTCCCAGTTAAATTGGGGGTCCTATTTTACAAAAAGAAATTATTGATTTAAATTCTTCAAGGACATCTGGTGTGTAATATGCACAATGACAATTAATTTTTTTTCCAGATACGTTATTATCAACACCTAGTGTGATATTTTCTAAAGTATATATATTTAAAATCTTCTCTGAAGCTTAAAATAAAAAAAAATGCAATAAAACTAAGACATTATTTAATTAGATAAACTTTTAACTGTTTTTATGATTAAGATATATTATGGAGACAATTTTCTAAAAAAATACAATAAAAATGCAATAAAAACTGCAATAAAAATGCAATAAAATTAAGACATTATTTAATTAGATAAAATTTTAACTGTTTTTATGATTAAGATATATTATTGACACAATTTTCTAAAAAAAAATTCCTTATGAATTTTTTTATGATGTACAATGACTTTTTTTTTTACAAGAACTGTTTTCATTTTTTAAAATTTAACTAGAATAATTAATAAAATTTTAAATTATTTCAAATTCTGTATAAATTCGTGCCGTTTAGGTGATGTTGTTATTAAGTAAAAATTATATTTACTAATCATAGTTAGAAAAGCTTAATACAATTCAGCTATCGGTAGTATTTTTAAAAGAATTTTAAATTTTTTATGTTTGTATAAACGTGCCGATTTTTGTAAATACGGCCATCCATACAACATTATTAGAAAATAAGATCGGTAACTATAGTAACAGGAGACTCGGTGCGTCTCGGATTGAGGAATCAGAGAGCCGAGTTCGAATTCCATTACATTCACTTACGTGTTAATACCTTTGGGAAAGGTATGAATCCTTTTTTCCCCCCCCCACCAGCTATGGGTAAATAGCAGGACAAATGGCGACTGGTCTACCACAGAAAGAAATGGCAACCTACTGAGGAAAAAAATCTGCCTCGTCAGTCATGTATCGAAAGATACATGATCGCCTAACCGTTTATCACGCATGGCACATAACTGACATTTACTGAACTATAGTAAATTTAAAGCCAATGTAACTAAAATGCTATAAAACATTAAATTACGGAGTATATTTTTCCTAAATTTTTAAAATTACACGATCGTTAATAAATCATATAATAAAGCACATTAATGTTTACATTATATTCGTTAAACAATTTTTACAGATATGCCTTCGTAGAAAAAAATTAGTTAAATTTCAGGCTGTCAATAGAGCTGTCAATCTGTTAATAAATCATATAATAAAGCACATTAATGGTTACATTATATTTGTTAAACAATTTTTACAGATATGCCTTCGTAGAAAAAATTAGTTAAATTTCAGGCTGTCAATAGAGCTGTCAATCTGTCAATAGAGCTGCCAAGCTGTCAATAGACCTGTCAAGCTGTCGACTCATGAGAAAAACTAGCTCCGTGTTAAAAATGCATTTCTACAATATTTTAAACTAAAAGTAAATAATATTTGTTTTGAATCAGATTAATTAATCTTTAAATCAGCTAATATTTCCCAATTAATGTTTCAGAAAAGTATATTTTATTTTTAAAAGATATTTTAATAAAGAGAATTACATTGTGCTGAAAATGTCGCTAAAATCAGCGATGTTTAGTGATTTCAAAAGAACTCATTCCAATCGATTTAAATTCGTTTTGAAATACAGCAAAGTATTTTGCTTATTGGGAATATTAAATTTAATCTGTTAGGTTGAAATTAAGAGTAAAATAAGAGATTCATAAAAGCGTTTTCATTTTAAAAAAATAATTTTAAAAATTAGGTTTTCTTTGGAGGTACTTATATTATTGCAATGTTTGATTTCAAACTTAATGAAGTTGTGCGTCTGTTAAATTCATTTTAAAACTTAGGTATCGCGTTTTCTGTGATGGTATCTACTTTAAAGTCTTTAACACTCTGTAGGTGTCTATTTTTGGCAAGTGAAGTGTTAGTCCTGTCAATACAAGTTGAATTTGAATTTCTTGGTTGTGTAGTTACATCCTTCTATGGCAACAGCTAAAACAATCTTGACTCAAATTGAGAGACAGGCTACTGCAATTTCAAATATATAGAACTAATATATAAAACACTATATTTTAAGAGGATTCTATAAACAATAAAAATGGTAAAGAGAAACTCAGATCAATGGTGGGGAGGCTGGTCATTATTGAATTATGGCTGTGAAATCTTGTTTATACTTTTAGCTTTAAGATGTTTTTTGTTTTTAAAGAAAAAGAGAAAAGTTTAATTAGTAAAGTATAGTCAGAGAAAAATTGTGATTAAAAATTAAAACGTTTTATCTGAGATTTGATAACCGCTGTTGAAAAGAAACTGTTTATTTTTGCTTTGTAAGTAATTTACAAAGTTAATTTAAGTGTATATTTATATTCAGTATTTTTAAACATGAAATAAAAAGGCAGCATGTATAGGAAAGAGTAAATCTTGTAAGAAAATAATTATACGCAAATGCTTTATATAAATGTTTAATTTTCTTTTTAAGTATTATTTAAAAAGATTTTATAAAACATGTTATTCTATAAGTCACGTTGAATTTGAATTTCTTGTTTGTGTAGTCATATCCTGCTATGGCAACACTTAAAACAATCTCGACTGAAATTTAGAGCCAGCCTACTGCAATTTCAAATATATAGAACTAATATATAAAACACTATATTTTGAGGGGATTTCATATACAGTAAAAGGAGGGGGGTTATTATTTATTGTTGTAACCTAGAAAGGGTTACTGAATGAGGAATAACCAAAACGGAGGTTGGAAATAAAATGGTAATCATTATAACATCAACAAAATACAATACTCTCCAGCGTCATGTAGGTAAACCACTGCTCATCGTGGACTACTTAGACAACATATCACCCCCTACTTACAATAGTGTCCAACATATTTACGAGGATTGGGACATACCCATTAGTGTTTATAGGTATGGTATATAATATTTATAAATGATGCAGGGTTTTAAATGTTAAACCGCCTTTTTTTGTTTCTCTTTAGTCTTTATGAGATTAATTACTGGTTTTATTCGATGAATTATTTGGACATTAACAAAATATATGTGTGTGTGGGGAGCTGCTGAAATATTATCGACACGATTCACTTCCGAAAATCTAACCATATGATCAGATATCAAAATTTGGTATCGGGAACTTTTCAGCACCCTCTTTGTATAAGAAAAAAACTGACTCTGAATCTATTTCCAGAGGCAGGAATAAGACTGTCTTACCTGGGCAAGGGTGTTTTACATAATAATCTCGCCGTCTTTTCATCTCATCTGTAATAAAAAATTAAAATAAACAATCAGTAATATATTAAGTAAAGCAAAAGTGAATGGTAATGGAGCAACTAATATGGAATGGAGGTAGTTATCTATTTTCAGTTAATACGTATGTCCCATAATAGTTGGTATGGGAAATGTGTTTATAAATGTACCAACTATTATGGGACAAAAGTAGGTGTCCATTTTAGTTAATACTCTGACCCATAATAATAGGAACATTTGTTATAAGAAATGCGTTTATAAATGTATCAACTATTATGGGGCAAAAATAGGTGTCCATTTTCAATACCCCTGTTCCATAATAGTTGGTACATTTGGTATAGGAAATATGTTTATAAATGTACCAACTATCATGGACAAAAATAAGTGTCTATTTTTAGTTAATACTCTGACCCATAGTTATTGGCACATTTGGTAGAGGTTATGTTAGGTACCTCCACGAAATCGCTAAAAAAAGCATAGCTCGATGAAAAAGACGCCAACCTTGCCGAAAACAAAATTTTATCGTCTGAATGCTTATGTTATTATTAAGAGGAAAGGCCTAAGTTTTTTAATTATTTTTTAAAATTTTTCCTTCTTTTAAAACATTCTAAATTTTGATTAAAAAACCTTGTTTCTCTTTGTATCAGCGGAACAAGTAAATAACAGACTATTTTTAGCACTTTTTTTTTGTTTTTTTGGTATGACACACATTAATTTAGAAAATGTTGCAAAAAAATAAATAATTATCAGATGTTAATGAATCTTTCAGAAACTATTTACAGATGATCTAAATTATTATAAATATGTTTTTTTTTTTATTAAAGTGATGACAGAAAGATTATTTTATATTTATTACCCCTCCCATAACTAATTTTATGAAAACACTATAAATTCGATCGAGTCTAGTTTAATGATTACAATAGTTAAAAGCACAAGGCTTTGAGGAATGCAAATCATGTTTTTTTTGTTTTTAATTGGACCCCCCCCTGAAAATCAGCTCTAAATTGTAACATACAAAACTCAATAAAACAAAGATATTATTTAATTTCAAATGCTTTTATTTGCTTTTAGTTGTTTTTATGAATATGGACAATATTTTCTGAAAGCAAAAAAATTTTCGATAAAAAATTAATTTTTAATACAATTATTTGTTATTTCTTAATTATAATAGATTTTGACCTTTAATTTTTTAAAATATTATAAAATTAGTTAAAAGCCGAATCAGGTTCCTAAGTCTCCTTATGAGATAGATCTTTTTTAGCGTATTGTAAATTGTATCAATTTGACTAATCAGAAGATCCGCAGTAATTAAGAAATGTGATTTTGTGTTTATAATCACGCTGTAATTATAACGTATGGAAGACCAACCAGAATACAATTAAGTTGCGCTATTTGAGTAAGCATTGTTCTCCGCTGTTAAGGCCTTTACTTCTGCGAAACACGTGTGGAGAAGTTAATTTGACTTTTTAATTTCAACTGAGAAGGGTACCTACAAGTATTAGTATCATCTTATAAAATTTATATGATCTTATTTTTATATTAATCTCAGTTATGATATTTTTCCATAAATGAAATATCAAAATTAATAAAATGAATGGAAATACAAATAACACAGTAAAATGTAATAAGTGTACATAAAATTATAGTATTTTATGTACACTTCTGATAAAATTTAATAAGAAAGGTACCTATATATTAATTAGATACCTTTCTTATGAAATATGAAATTTAATCTCACTCTTAACAGTCTTATTTTTATTTCTTTATAATATATTTTCCATAAAGCATCGTAAATGTAAAGGTGAAAGCTAAGTACAAAAAAAAAAATTAGAGCGCTGAAAGTTTTCCTTAAAAATAACGAGGTAAATAATTTGTTCACTTAAATGTAAATTATTTCACTTTTCTCCTTCCGTAGAACAAATTAGCCTCACGGAATCCGTCAATATGTCATTCATCACCTGTCAAGTGACGCGAAAGTTTATGACCTGCTTTGTTTTATTTTCAAATTACATCTTTTCGGCATAGAATTAAGTTAATCTTGGTTAAAAATATTGTAAATAAACATTATAATTTCTGATTTTCTTAAAATATGTTTGGAAAAAATGATAATTGATATTTAAAAGAATTTCAAAGTGAGATTTCCAGTTTTTATTATAAAATGGAAAAAAATGGTCAATTTTGCTGACTAAAAAAAAAAGATTTTTAACGAAAATTTCGGACGTGCTAGGAACGATTAAAAAATGTAAAAAAATACCCCAAAATACTTTGATCTTTCCTCTTAATAACATAAACATTTAGACGATAAAATTTTGTTTTCGTCAAGTTTGGCGTCTTATTCATTATGCTATGCTCTTTTTTAGCGATCGCGTGGAGGTACCTAGGTTATGTCTATGTAAATTGAACTCGCAGTTACTACATCACCAAATTCACGAACCCACGCTTTAATTCTCTGGTCTTTGGTCCCGTAGGACAATTCTCTGTGGAGAACTTGGAGCCCTAAACCTAACATGCAGTAGAACAAGAGTCTACTCCCGTAGACTAAATAAAGCGTTCAGTTCTGTAGATTACCCGCATCGATATACACCTGATGAAGACCGGAGGAGACAACAGTCGAAACGTTGTGATGACAACAACAAAGATGAAGACAATAGACTGAATGTAAATGATTTCAACGTACCTGTTATCAATGGAACTCTATTAGAAGAGTTACGAACTCGAGAAAGAAATGATACAGACCCTTGTAGTTTGGGGAAAATAATATTAGGGCTAAAATCTTTAAATCTGTTGATAAAAAAAAAAAAAAAAGAATTCTATTGGATAGAAAAAGATACCTTGGAAGAAAAAGGAAGGATCAGTTACAAGAACTTACTTGTAAAAAGTCCGGGGACCATCTTATATACAAGGTTTTGCAGGATTTGATCTTGTCTGAAAAAAAAAAATACAAATATTTAATGAAGAAAAATAGAAACAATATTAAATAAACTTGATCTGATAATCCTTATAAAAATGGGAAGATATTAACATAGAAGCAAATGTCGATCTTTTTTACTAACTTTATAGATTAATCAATCATTAGAGTTCTCCTTTACCTACGCTTTTAGTTCCCGAGTCAATCCAAGAAATAAACTATTCAGGAGATTTTATAAAACTCAGAGACTCAGTATGTCTGATGACAAAGAGAAGCGATAAAGTGTTTCCTTTAAGCCGAAATGTAAGTGTCTGTATTAATAAATATGGGAAATAAAGTTACCAGCGATGAACTCTCCTAATACATTGTTATCATTTTCCTATTTAATTATTAGTCATTTTTGATAATCTCTTATTGTACCTAATAAAATCTACGGTAAGAACGAATCTTTTATCCGTCACATGACTTTTATTACAGTCTATTGTTAGAATTATTCTATTTTATTATTAGTTATTACTGTTAATCTCTTATTGTGCCTAATAAGATCTACGGTAAGAACGAATCTTCTGTGAGTCACATAACTTTTATTCCAGTCTATTGTTAGAATTGTTCTATTTTATTATTAGTTATTGTTGTTAATCTCTGATTGTGACTAATACGATGTATGGTAAGAACGAATCTTCTACCCGTCACATTTTTATAAATAGGGTCAATACATATGATAATTTTCAATGTGTATTTATATATTTCCTGTCTATTTATTTATATATTTCCTGTCTCATATGTAGTTTGAAGGTGGTAAATTAACTAAAGTTAGTTCATTTATAAGCGATTACTTCCTTTAGTCGTTTTAATAATCTATACAAATAAAAGATTTATCTGCATTTAAACAAAATTAGTCTCCGAGCAAAATGAATCGTTTAAATAATCATTTTTTTTTTACTCCTACGTTTCTTAGATTGCAGTCTTATTTGTTTAAGCCTTTCATGTGAGGTACTCAGAGATCTTTGTCTGTGATCGTCTTGCTTCAACTTGGTCTTGAAATAGGCATTGTCATCGCCGACTTTCTCGTTCTGTTGCTAATCTTTTGCTTCCGAGAGATATTTTCATTTCACTGTTATATTAAACACATAAAATTGTTAATATGAAAAGATATTGAAAAAGCGATTTATATAATACCAGGAGTAATCAATGAATCATCGATAATATAAAGGGAACGGAAGAATTAAACGGTTCATTGGCTCGTGTTTTAGTTCTAAATTCTTTACTTCTGCTTTATGGAATCTCAATAAATTGTTTCAAGAATTTTGTTTCATTGCATCTCACTATTAAAACATTCTAATAATTGCAGGCATTTCTTTACGGTACGATTACACGAGTAGTTTTATAAATTGAAAGGAAAATATACTTTATCGTGTGCAATTAAATGAATTTATATCTATTCGCTTAATGGCAAAACCAATGTCAAATGAAACAAGCATTTCCACAGGGTCATATAATTATTTTAAAATTAAACATGTTACTCATCAACAAAAACCTATGTAATTATATATAACGATTTAATTTATAAAATTTATTTAATTAAAAAGAAGAAATAGAAAAAATCTAATATGAAAATCATAAGTCGAAACATCGAACGCATAGAATTTCTACAGGGATAGAAACATAAGTTTCAATTCTTGAATATTTTCATCCTTGAAATAAGGTTGTAAAGAAAAAACAGTTCATGATTGATTACTTCCCTTATTCGTTTTAATAATCCATACAAATATTTATTTGTATTTAGGCAAAATTAGTTCCCGAGTTTTACGTTTTTTAGATTACAGTCTTATTTGTTCAAGCCTTTCGTGTGAGGCATTCAGATATTGTTGTCTACTAAGTAATCGTCTTGCTTCAACTTGAATTAGGCTTTGTCGCCGCCACCGTCTGTGTCGTTCTGTCGCTAATCTTTTTCTCCCGAGAGATATTTCCACTTCACTGTTATATTAAACATACAATTTTTAACATGAAAAAATATTGAAACAGCGATTTATATAATACCAGGAAAAGATCAATGAATCAACGATAAAATTGAAGGTGTAAAAAATATAAAAGGAACGGATTAATTAAAAAAGTTCAGTTGCATCTATTTTAGTTGTGAATTCTTTATCTCCGCATTTTTGAATATCAATATATTGGCTAAATACTTTTTTTTATATCAAATCTCACTAGTAAAGCTCTCTGACAATTGTCGTCATTTTTGACGGGTACACTAGTAGTTTTATAATTGTTTTATTTTATTATCAATTATTGTTGTTAATCTTTTTTTTCTGTAGGTGCTTTTGACAGTGTGAGTAATAGTTGTCCGTTAGTCCTGAGTTAAATGACCCACGGAGTTTCATTCAAAATTCATTAACAAACGGAAAAATTGTTAACGTTTCGTATAACCAATAGAATAAGAAAATTGAATTGTCATTAATTTATTAATTAAACATTAACGTACGTAATTATTTTTTTTAATGAAATGTCACTTGGCGACGTACACGATCATGGCCCTCCACACATTCATATTCTTTATTAAATGTGAATTGACGTGACTTCTTGGGATGAATTTAATGTAAATGTTTCTCCATCTCCATGATTTCAAATTCGGAGTGAGTCTTGTTGCCATCCAAGGCTAAAGAGCACCAACTCCTCTGCTATTTATTTATGTATAGCAATCAAAGTGCCGGTAGGGTTAATTGATGACCTTCAATTTCCAACCCGCCGGCACGGATTTTATTTGGTACAACTTTATAATTTTCCCCGATGTACTGTTATTTTGCACAAAGAATGAAAAGATTTCCCAGTGGAACGTTTATTTGAACAGCCACGATTATTTCATGATTTTCAATATTGCAGACGATACGAGTTATTGGTTGGAATGGCGACTTGATTCTGGAATCACTTGTTTTGAAAAGTGTCGATTCTTCTGTATGTGGAAAATTCACACCAGCATGAATATGCCGGACGGCATTTGTTTTTTTGGTACGAAAGATGACCGAGTCGATTATTTTATAAATTGCAAATTCCCAGTAGCATAAATAATAGTATTTTTTTTTGGTACAAAGGATGACTGAGTCGATAAAATGAAAATTCCACTGAGATGAATATTCAAGACGAATATTTGTTTTTAGTGCGAAAGTTGACTTGATTCTTGCATTATTATTTTTTTTTTTTTTTTTTTTGGAACTGTGTCAATTGTTTTATAAGTTGGAAATTTCACGGTCTAGAATAATCCATGTGGTATTTGTTTTTGGTACGAAAGATGACCGAGTCGATTATTTCAAAGTTAGAAATTCCCAACGGCATGAAGTTTCCAGACGGTATTTGTTTTTGGTAGGAAATATGACTAAATCGATTATTTTTTAAGTTGAAAATTTCATTGAATGAATATTCCACACGGTATATTTATATACAAGAAAAGTGGACCGCGTCGATTATTCTATAAAGTGAAATTCCACTGGTATGAATTTTCCAGACGGTATTTGTTTTCGGAAGGAAAAATAACCGAATCGATTGTTTTATAAGTTGGAAATACCATTGGCTGGAATAATCCATGTGGTATTTGTTTTTGGTACGAAAGATGATCGAGTCGATTATTTCAAAGTTGGAAATTCCTAATGGCATGAATTATCCAGACGTTATTTGTTTTTGGTTGGAAATATCACTAAATCGATTAGTTTATAAGCTGAAAATTCCACGAGATGAATATTCCAGACGGTATATATTTTTTACAAAGAAAGTGGACCGCGTCGATTATTCTATAAAGTGAAATTCCACTGGTTTGAATTTTCCAGACGGTATTTGTTTTTTGTAGGAAATATTACTGAATCGATTATTATAAAAGCTGAAAATTCCATGGGATAAATATTCCAGAAGATATATTTTTTACAAAGAAAGTGGATCGCATCAATTATTTTATAAGGTGAAATTCCACTGGTATGAATTTTCCAGACGGTATTTGTTTTTGGGAGGAAAAATAACCGAATCGATTATTTTATAATTTGGAAATACCTTTGGCTTGAATACTCCATGTGGTATTTATTTTTGGTACGAAAGATGACCGAGTCGATTATTTCAAAGTTAGAAATTCCTAACGGCGTGAATTTTCCAGACGGTATTTGTTTTTGAGGAAATATTATATTTATTATAATAAATCGATTATTTTTTAAGTTGAAAATTTCATTGGATGAATATTCCACACGGTATTTTTTTTTTTATAAAGAAAGTGGACTGCGTCGATTATTCTATAAGGTGAAATTCCCCTGATATGAATTTTCCAGACGGTATTTGTTTTGGGGAGACACAATAACCGAATCGATTATTTTATGAGTTGAAAATTCCATGGTATGAATATTCAAGACGGTATGTTTTTTTTACAAAGAAAGCGGACCGCGTCGATTATTCTATAAGGTGAACTTCCACTGGTATGAATTTTCCAGACGTTATTTGTTTTTGGTAGGAAATATGACCAAATTGATTATTTTATAAGTTGAAATTTCTATGGGATGAATATTCCAGACGGTATATATTTTTTAACAAAGAAAGTGGACCACGTCAATTATTCTATAAAGTGAAATTCCATTGGTATGAATTTTCCAGACTGTATTTGTTTTGGGGAGGAAACATAACCGAATCGATTATTTTATAAGTTGGAAATACCATTGGGTTGAATACTCCATGTGGTATTCATTTTTGGTACGAAAGATGACCGTGTTAGAAATTCCCAACGGCATGAATTTTCCAGACGTTATTTGTTTTTGGTAGGAAATATGACCAAATCGTTTATTTTATAAGTTGAAAATTCTAAGGGAGGAATATTCCAGACGGTATTTTTTTTGTAAAGAAAGTGGACCGCGTCGATTATTCTATAAGGTGAAATTTCCCAGTAGCATGAATAATAGTATTTTTTTTTTTTGGTATGAAGGATGACTGAGTCGATTATTTGATAAATTGAAAATTCCACTGACATGAATAGTCAAGATGGTATTTTTTT